TTCACGTGATTTATTTGGTTTAATAAGAGTCCCAAGATATGCAAAAGTATGTTTGCCTGCTTGTGCATTAGTTTGATTTCCCTGAGAAGTACTTAAGGGCACAATCTGAGCAGTAGATGTATTGGACTTTCTAAGCAATATATGTTTTTGTCCTTGCGAAGTTGTTGTGGTACTGACAGTATTAATTGGCCGATGAATTACAATATGTTGTTTACTTTGAGAAGTATTAACCTGACTTGGCCCTTGTATAAATACTTTGTTCTGCCCAGTGACAATCTAGAATAAAAATGAAACAAACAATTTATTGATGACATTAGAGTAGCTCACAAATTCTGAATAAATTAAGTAAATGTTTTTCACATTTTAACATAAGTAAATCATCTATTATTTAATTATTAGGAATTGTATAATCTAGTACAACTGCTTACATTTTAACAAATTTATTTTTTTTTTTTTTTTTTAAGGTAAACTTGAAATATTTTCAGCATGATATAATAGAAGCAAAAACTGGTTGTAAAAATAATATTTTGTACTTTGCTATTCACTCCACTTGTTATTCACTATAACAAGTATGCTAAATAGATCTATATTTATTATAAAGATATATTCTTTCACTGCTATCATCTACACAAAGAATTTAATAGCTTCTCACATTTTACATGTATATATTCCATATTAATTTACATATGACACAGTGAAGCTATAGTCAATACATATTTAAAATACCACAATTATTCTGGATCATTTTATATAATTATAGGTTATTCTGACCTATATACTATAACTATGCAGTTTATTGTACTATACAGTATAATATATTAATCTACTTATGTAAGAATCAAATTATAAATAATAATTTATTAAAATATTATTAGAAATTATTATGTACTTTATTATACGTAATATAAAGAAAAAATAACTTCTCTTTATATTCAAAGTATCTTATTTAAAACAAAAATTTTAACAAATTACCTGATTATTGACCGGATTGATAATAGCAGCCAATTGAGTGGCATTAGGTGTAACCAAAGTCTGATTTGTGGTTGTTGGTGGTGCAGAACGTAATTTACTTTGCTGAATGTATAATAAAGGCATAACGGGTGTTGTTGGATCATCTGATTGTGGAGTCTCCGTGTTACTATTCTCATCTACATCATCTACAACTATTTCTTCTTCCATTCTGTTAAGAAAACATAATGCAATATATTTTTTAAACACGTAAATTTCTTATTTATCAATCATTAAATCATTACAAAAAATTTAAGAAGATAAATCATATTTCTAATATTATTCCTTATTAAAATAAAATTAGATTAATAATAAAACAATACAAATGAAATAATATGACTGAAATACTAAAAGGTAAAGCCAATTTCAATGACCTAATGGCTTAAATTTTATCTCTGTTTAAGAAAATGATGTTTGAAAATTATCATAAGAAAAAGATAAAACAAAATCCAAAAAATGTAAGAAACATTTTATCAAGACTGCATTAACAATGTCAGAGTATTGATGTATTGAATGAGAAAATATACAAGAAAAAGTATTCTGCAATTTTACAAACCTAACAATATATAATATCTTCTATCACCAAGTAGAATTGTTCCTAGTTACATAATTCGTGAATAATTGCAATTTTTGTTATATGCATAATGAAGAAAATTTGACAGTGTAAACTTTAATTACACAAAGTTTAATAACTAAAGCTGTAGTTTCGTGGATAGCCATAACTGGGCGTTAAGAGAATCACTAACGCAATTTGAAACACGCGCCGAATTAATATCGTTGAGTAAAGTTACGTTATTACTTTTTACGCTTTTAAATGCATCGACTGAGGAAAAATTTATTCCATACATTCTATGAAATACCAGAAATCCTCTAAAACTAACAGCTTCAACACTTACAACACGGATATTTTCATTCAAATACTTTTACAAATTGTCCGTCGCGCATCACGAATCACTCGAAGAACACAACGCGCACGCACACTTTTCACTGGAATAAGAGGATGGATTAAACTGTGTAAAATTGATCATTCCTACAAGGGCTCTTAAGATAACGTAAACAATTGATGTGATGTAAACGAAGAACAACCCAGATCGGAATTCCACGTAATTTTAAACAATTATTTTCACATATCTTTTAAGCGTTCGAGCCTTCATTCTCCGTACGCTACAGCTACGTCCTCATAGGCTCTAACTGTAGTAGCGACGGCGCAACAGGCCGCTCGCTATTGGTTAATCGTTGCTACACTAAAGACAAGTTCACAACCTCGACCAATCGTAACATTCTTAGTGTATTATCAACCGCATCCCATATACAGATTTTTCCTGAATACAAGTAATTTTGAAATCATTCAACGATCATGCTCAGTCGATCGATAACCATACATGATATACAAAATGTTTCTGTCTTAATTTAGAGCTTTTTCATGACATTTTTGTTGTTGTACGTTTTGATAAATCTCCCGCGCAAATGTCGACAAAAAAAAAGTACGACCAATTTCTGTCCTGCTGATCGATGCAAGCTAAACTAATATTTTTTTTAAAAGGTAAGTTACATATTCGTCATTATTTAACATACTGTTACGTTAAATTTTAGAAATTTAAATTCACTAATATAGTAATAATTGAACAAGGTAATATAATATAAAATATATTTGATTTAGACCTGTTTTAAGTACAGTCACATATTAAATTTTATTGTCTTATTTTCATAATTCTTGGTTTTAACCAATGGCAGCTAATACTCACGTGACGTCGTATTGTTATCGTGTCTGGATTGGATAAACGTGCAGTACATGTAATTGGGAAAAGGATTCTGTCTTTGAAACAGCAATTTTGGCAAGCTCTTGATAAAATTATTAAATTTGACGATCAATATTTTCTACTGCACTATATATAAAAATATTATTTATATTGATTCATAGAAAATATTAATTGGTATATTCATTTTACGCACGAAACAAATGCCAAAGTTTCGATTTCGATATACTTCTGCATTAACCTCTAAAATATAAAAGCTAAGATTTGTAATACATGATATATTATCGCTTCGTATAATAACGTTACGACTATTATCAGATTATGATTACAGTACTTGAATTTCATATATTTATGTTCCAGAAAAATAAAAATCAATAATAAACAATTGTTACCATAGTATTTATTAAAATTTTTAATAATTTATAAACTTGATATAAATTAATAATAACGATAATAATACGACGTAAGTGCGATTTATATATATCTTTCAAATTCATAAAAAACAATATAAACTAGATGGTCTTGAATGAAAATAATTCGTTAATCATTTATTTTCTCATATAGTATTAAAATTATAAATATTTTTGTTATTTCATGAAAAAATAACAGTAAAATATGTTTCAATAAAGTATAAAATATTTAATGTACGAAGTATCGAGGTTATTAAAAAGTTTTCTAAAATAGGGAGAAAACGAAACTAATTCGTTATTTTCACTTTACTAGTATAAATTAATCGTTATGAATATGTAGGTACAATCATTATCAAAGCACAAAAGTCACAATATTTTAAGTATATTTCTATATGAGTGGAGGTAAATTGAAAAAGAATATAAGCAAAAATTATTACGAAAATCGTGGTAACATGTATTGAAAAGTTTGTACATATTATATTCATTCATAAATACTTTACAACTCTTTTCAAGTACACCAATGCAAGAAGTTACGGGAAGCTTTATAGGTATACTTACTAGGATAAGTGAATGTTGGTTTAACGAATTATGAGCGGTAATTTTAAGGATATAGTCTTTTGAACAACAATTGTGAAAAAAAAATTACCTAACTAACAAACATCTGAATATTTAATGATATCACTGTTATATTTTACACGCGAACAGCACATTGTAAACATAAGAAATTATATGATAATAAACTCACGTTTTAAAGTTGTCAGTCGCCATCATATGCGAAGAGACGGTATCATTCTAAGTGCGCGTGCGCATCGACCCATGTTGCTTCTGCTTTAAAGACACGTTCACATTTGTACACATAAAATAGAATAAGATAAAAATGTTTAACCACTTCAGAAATATGTATTTAATAACATGTAGCGAAATTTTTTAATTACCGATATTTCTACTTCTATTTTTTAAATATCAAAATAAATTTATTTTATAGGTATAATCTATTCAAGCAAACTATAATTGACATACAATTTATTAGCAAACTATAAAGCAATGATGGTAATTATTCGTTTGCGTATTTTCATACAGAAGTCATAATAGAAATAAAAAATTCATTTTTTCTTTCAATTTCGTAAAATAATATGGCATATTTTTTACATCGTCTAAAATAAGCAAATATAATTTACAATTTTGGTTGCATAAAACAAGAGTTAAATATTACACTTTTTGGTATCGATCGAAATAAAAAATAAACATAGTATATAACAAATTCAATAGAATTACCAATTATATTGAAATATTTATTTTGTGCTACGCTTCAATAACTGCAGCAGCATGCACATATTATTTGTATATAATATTTGTAGTTTATTTGTTACAGCAAATTTTTTATTAATTATTCGATATGCATCGAAGATAGGCAAAAGCATAGTGATTGCTAAGCGGTTAAGCGAAGCTTCGAAATCGCTTGATCATAAATATGTACGTACATATATATGTATAATCTTGCGCATATAAATATACATATTTACATTTGAGGAACATATGTCAAAGCATATGTAAACGCTTGCGCTCGATGTTGTACGCCAGTGCTGTCCAAGCCAAGCTCCGGAACTTGGAGAGCCTTTACCCACTTCGACTTCGGTACCATGATACAAAGACGCTAACTAACACTGTGCTACATACGCGCGCCCAATACAAACACTTCCCGCATATTGTCTTCTGCTTCAAGAGCAAGTTAGAAAAAGAGAGAAATTACATCAGATCTGTCGATCTTTCTCTGAACCCTCTTTGTCTTATAGGGTCGACGGTAAAAGCAGGAAGAAAGTTGTGTGAGGGGCTCCACCCGTGGAGACGGCACTGTCGTACGCTTCGAAAAGGCCGATTAACAAGCATACGCGTTTCAGAAGAAAAGGTAAAAAAGAGATAGAAAAGTACTTTGTGATTGAGAAAATATTCGAAAATATAATAAAAAATGAGATGATGATTGTAATAGATTGGATTTTCCTTCCTGAAACTTGTCCATGTGTCAGATAATTCGGCGTAAGATGGTTGAAGACAGACAATGGCGTAGAGACAGTTCGTGTTTTGTGCTACTAGTTGATGGACTTAATGAACCCTTGTACTTATCAAAACAGAAGACAACATAGCAGTAAATCCAGTCTCTTGTCACAAAATGTCATATTACGATGTGTGATACTGTGTGCATTATAATAAGCTAACTCGAGGCCGAAATTTTTTTTGCGACTTAACATCGACTCCATTATTCACTGTCATTGAGCATAGTGTTTTCATCTGGTAAGGGAACGTTTTAACGAGAATGCCACAAAACAATTAAGTGCATTTCTCTTAAATTTTTAATATCAATGTATATTTTATGACCATTTAATCCAGGATTAATTTATTGTATTACTATAGAATAAAAACTCTTTTCCTAAAATTTATATAAACACTTTATTTGATTTTGTATTATGCGACGCATTTTGACGTAATCCTATCGTGTTATATTTTGACACATAAAATTAGCCAGTTGCTGTCGCATTAATAATAATAAATGAGATATTTGATATTTTGCTGAATTTGATTCTTATCAGATGAAATATATTCTTACAGATTATTATATATATAAATTCTTTATGTTCATAAAGATTTTAATAATTGTAGCTAGTATATTATACTTTGACCTGGTGAGTTATTTTTAAAGTCAAGCTACACAAAGTTGTGATTACTATGTCTATATAAATTCACTCTGCTTTTAAAAGTATCATAATAAAAGTTATCCATTTAATCAAAAAATAACGATTATATATAAGAAGCAATGAATATAGTTTATATATCATATAATTGGAGTTTACATAATAATGTTAATAAATAAAATATAATATTCTATTTGAGTACATATCTGATTTATATATTGATTAATGTCATAAAATGTAATGGATATATATGTAAATAAATACTTGTTAATATTTTTATTCAAGTATAAGAGTATGAAATGCAATAAACATTTGACTAACATATTGAAATTTTGTTACAGAGTTTTTTTATAAGTTTTTAACAATGGGGGCAGCTGTAAGCAGTGGTCAAAATAATGATGAATTAGTTGATAATCTAATGAAATCTGGATATATAAGAACAAGAATAGTGGAACAAGTTTTTAGAGCCATTGACAGAGCAGATTATGTTTTGCCATCTCATAGAGAGAGAGCTTATAATGATCTTGCCTGGAAACATGGCAACATTCATTTATCTGCACCATGCATATATAGCGAGGTGATGGAAGGTCTTTCATTGAAACCAGGATTGAGCTTTTTAAATCTTGGATCAGGAACTGGTTATCTCAATACAATGGCAGGACTCATATTGAGTAAGAATACTACTGCTTTACTAGATCAGTATAGAATATTCGTGATATCTTTGTACCTTTCTTAGACCAACATGGAATAAATCATGGTATTGAGTTGCATGAAGATTGTTTAAAATATGCATATGAGCGACTAGAAGAATTTAAACAGAGGTCATTAGCATTGGATGAATTTGACTTTTGTGAACCAGTTTTTGTACAAGGTGATGCATAAAAAAATTTATTTTTTATGTGGCTCCTGTGAGGACAGAAAAGAGTCATGTAACTATACATTTAACAGGGAATTGTCTGAATGTTGCACCTGGTAGACGGTATGACAGAGTATATTGTGGCGCAGCATGTCCCGAAAATTACGAAAGATTTATTAAACAGTTTGTATGCGTTGGAGGTATCCTCGTGGTGCCGTTTGAAGATCACTTGTTACGTGTACTGAGAGTAGATGAAGAGACTTGGGTGCACCATAAAATGATACCTGTATCATTTTCAACGTTAATTGTGCCAACGGCTTCGGAACAAACATTATTCCACTTACGTATGTATACTTATAATATACTTAAAATAAAGGAAAACAGAAAAATATTTATAAATTATTTTAATATTACTAACGTATGTTATAGCTGAATGTACTCCATTATCTTTGCAAGAATTATGCAGAGGTAAAATTAGACGATGTTTGCGGTCAAATGTATGGAAGGAACACGAAGATCTGGAAACGAAAAAGCTAATACCACTTGACCGTTTAGGCCTTAATCGTCCTCTTCAAACTTTAACCAGATTTGTAATCCCCTTAGTGGAAGAATCTAACGGATTAGTATCAGATGAATCGGTATCTGATGAAGACGACGAATCTACTAGAAGGGCATGCATGTTGGTCAGCGTAGACGCTCACCCTAGAGAAGTTTGCGCGATTTCTCAAGTACGAGCTGTCGTAGTCTGTAACATAAATGAAAGCCAGAATTGCCAAGCAATGAGTGATAACGTCGACACTGACTCGAGTAATCAAAATTCTGAAAATTCTGCGAACAGTGACAAATCTGTTTCACAGACAGAAGAATCTAATAATGTACAGACTGCTTCAAATTCGCCAGGAGAAAAATCTCAAGATAAAGCTGAAGAACAAAATTTTAGAAGTGAAACGTACTGGAATTTACTTAAACGTACTGAAGCATTATTAAATATAAGCGAAAGTGATAGCGAAACAGAACAAGACGAGACTCTTGTACAGCGTAAGAAGATGGCCAAGCGAGAAAAAACGGATAGTGGTATCGTTGAGGATATAAACTTAAGCAACGAAGATAGTAGCCCCAGATCAAATATCAGTCAAACAGATTCAGAACCCGCCGACTTGCCTGATACAGCGATGGACGTGAGTTCGTCCAATAATTCCCGTGACATAGTAGTAATCAGTCGTTACGTGGATAGTAATGCCTTTTCTACTTATATGAAAGAAAAAATACATAAGTTACCATTGCCTTTTTCATCAAAGTTGTACCTAAATTATAATCGTAAGCTGTAATATAAGTAAATTACATATGCAAATCATATTATTCTAATTTAAATAAATAAATACACACACACAGACACATACACATAATGCCCGTGTGCATGTGTGTGTATGTGCGCATGCGTGTACGCGAGCGTATGTGTCCTATAATGCGTGTTCATATGCATATATCCTTATTAATTATCTGTTTTTATCTCGCCTTTTATCTAATCTATTCTGAGCTGGTAATAATTTCATTATATAGGAATATCATGACATCACGTAATAAAATGAAGCTGAATATTATCGCAAATAGTCACCGATATTTTCTAAAATATTTCACATGCACTTATTCATAAATGTTTATACAAATATAATCTTATTGCTTTCTTTTTCCCACTGAAATTTTAACACAAAATTTTCGATCTCATAAAAAATCAACCTTACTCTCTTTCAACATGAACACTTCCTCTAACTACACTCCTGCTGTTCTTTGTGCAATTTACAATCATGTGAATTCATCACGGTCGCGAATACGAACGTTTCTTCGTTTGTCAAGAGTAGTCAACATCCCCATGGAGCAATCAACAACAAGAGGACGAATGGTCGAACAAGGGATGCACTGAGGGTGCGCGTGGAGAAATCAGTTATGCGGAAGAGGCTAACGCCCAGCTGCCCGGCAGATCGCGGGTTCGTACGTACGCGATAACATTGTCAACCGCCAACAGACTTCTGATCCGATTATTAATCACCCTGGAGGAGGCAGATAAAATCGATCGGAATGTATCTGTATTCTTCGACTACTTATCCCTTGCACACTAGCCTTCGTATCATTTAAGTTGAAAAATTCGAACTTGATACAAATTCCTCTTATCTCCGCAGATTGTTTTGTGTGGTGAATTATTCATACGCATATCATGTCTGTGTGTCTCTTCAAATTTATGGGTATTAGCAAACAATGCATGTTTGATTCGAAAGTGAGACAAATTTTTGAGTGTTGTATGAAAATGAAATGTGATTGTGTAATGGTAGAATCGAACGAAGAACGAGTGCATTTGGAATACTGGTGAGGAGACCAGGATTCTTCTGTTTCCTAGTAAGTAGAAAAACGTTATTCATTTGATAAGCGGTTCTTTTGTTTGTAGTATGTATATCAAGGATACTTATTTTTCCTGTTGCATGCATTTAATGAGTAATTAATGACGAGCCTTGCTTCTACGTGAACTTCAATCTTTCTGGGTTATTTTCCTGATTTTTCCTTTATATTCTCTAGAGACAAATACGTACATGAGTTTTAAGAGTTATTCTTTGTAACAGGAGCATTAAAAATACCTGTCTACTTCTACTTTTCTTAATAAATTTCTTTAAAAAATATGACACTTCACTAAAAGCCAGACAAAGAATTCCGATAAAAAATTGTTGAAAAATTGTTATATTTATCATGAAAAAAATAAAAATCTTACAAAATTTTCTATTCAGATATATTCATCGAAAATGAGGTTTATGGTGATCAGCTTCTTACTTCACTTGACCCTGATTGAAGTTTCTTCGGCGACCGAGGTGTCGTGCGGGGATCACTTAACGGTGCCAAGAGGGGTTATCCAAACCCCGAATTTCCCACGATCTTTCCCGGTGCCTATCAAGTGTCGCTGGGTGATCGATGTCTCCGATTTTCCAGCAATTAACAGCTCCATTGTTGTCTACTTGACGCAAGTTTACGTGTATAAGGGTCTCAGTTTTACTGAATATGCGTACTATGAATCGGAGAGTATGAATTTTGGCGCCATGCTAGTAAAAGAAATCACCGAAGGGAATTTGTTTAAATATAAATTGTTTAAAACGTTCAGACCATTTTTAGTGATAGAGTTCGAGCTCGATCGGCTAGAGGGCAATCACGTACGTGTTCTGAACAATTTGTTGGATGTGTACGGGTTCAATATCACGTATCAGGTGACCGAGGACGTGTCGAATTCCGATTCCTGTTCCGTCCAGGATTGCTCTTACACTGGCAACTGTCTTGTGTCTGCAGACTATACGTGAGTTTCGTAATTCTAGCCTCTGTCTTTAACCTTAATTCTAATTTCATTCGCTAGAACGCTTTAGCGACTGTTAATTTTTTATTTAATACTTTTACGTAATGAAAATTAATATTTTTATTTGATATTTTATTATGGTGAAAAATTTGGAGTCGTTTTAAAGAGCGTCCTCTAGTGAGTTTCCATGTAAAAGTTACCTTCTTTGAAAATAGTACTTCCTAGTATTTTATTTAAAATTTGACTAGTAATTTAATGTATTGATGTATAGTCTTTATCTCTATATGTAGAAACTTAGTTGGGCCATTTTTACATTTGAAATGAACTATACTCCCGCTGAAGATACGTTTATACCTTCTAGAGTTATTAATCGACGAGAAAATTGTTAAAAACTTGTAAAAAATTTCTTCTTTCGAGGAAGAAGAAAATGTTCATTTCGTTGTTTTCTTGCATGGTTTATATTTGTTGGAAGCTTATCTTTCTTCGAAAAAAAATTCAATCACAAAAGGTAAACACAAGGAGTGGTTTCTGACGATGTCGTATCAGGAATCACTAATGAATTTTTCGATCTTTCTGCTTGCGAATTTTTATGCACGAATAGTTCATCGTTGTTTGTTCGCAGGAGCTTCTGGTGCGATTGCTTCAAGAATTTCAGTGGGAAGAATTGTAACGAAGGACCCCTTTGCTACGATGACAGGAAGAATCCTATTTGTCAAAACGATGGCACTTGCAAGTACGAGTTTTATTCATATCAAAATTCATTTCTTTTCTAGAAACACATTACTACAAAGAATAATTCAATATAAGAACTTTTGAAAGCGAGAATTAAAGGTAATTCAATGTAAAAAGAATACCTTAACTGGTGAATGCCATTTATTGTCTTGGCTACTCTAGAGGAAAATGATTAAATTTACTTGTTTAAGAATATCCATAAAAATTCTAATTATTATTGTTAAAGACTTTAGCATGCTACAACGTAACAAATTATGGTTCTCTTATTACTGGCATCGTGAAATCACGTTTAACTTTATTCATAGAAGCTATATCAAATAGAAAGTTGGTCGGCGTAAATGTAGTTAAATCAATTTCATTTTAAAATCGAAAGGACGAACCTATGCCATCTTTTATGAAAGAAATGTTTCCATTTCCTATATATAATTCTCAAGGAACAAATGAAACAGTCGTTATAAACTGTTCCAGGCAAATTGGAGCTAAAGCAATGTCCTGTGAATGCACCGATGACTATGTCGGTCGGAACTGTGAGGTTCATCTTCTGGATAGCGTGGATGGTGGTAGGAATTATTTGGAATTGCTATAAATATTAAATCGTTTTGGATTTGGAATTATCATAAATATGTAAAACTTAATATGCACGATGTATGATGATAGAGGAAAATTGGGAATATTAACGTGCATGGCGTAATTATGTTACATAAAACCTAAGATATCTGCTGTATTGTACCGCTCACATATACAGATAGTATTATGATGATTCATGGTTCGTCCCGAACCAAGGCACATGAGTCATTCGCGAGTGCAAACACGATTGCTTACGAGGTCAATGTTTGTTCGCAGAATGCGGAATCGAGAATTGCATAATACAGTGCCCTTACGAGGAGGACCAACAACCATGCGCATGCAAGAACGGCACAAAAATCTATAATAGTAAGAATTTCCTCTTGTATGACTCATTGGAATTTTTCAGAGATTAGATATTCTTAGAAAATCAGGTAACCTATGGAAATTCTTGCAGATCGATCAAGGTACGAATGCAGAATCAAACTATCGAATGTGACATCTCTAAGGACTGGACTGATCACGCAACATGGTAGTTTGGAGACCTACATCGGTAAACAGGTGAGCAAAGAATGTTTGGAAACTAGTACAAAATTATTATAAAATCTGTAACATACTCGAATCAAAGATATCCTGCTTAGTACTTGTGCATCATAGAATACAACTGATATGTTATACTATATCTCCTCATGGATAGTCTTTTCACGAATAGCGTAAACTAAATGCAATATGTGTAAGATATTACACGTTCGTGAGTCATGTAACAGTGTTCACGATGATCGCGTTGTCGCATTCTTCTGTAATCTTCTTGATATGTATCAAAAATCGAACCAGTATTTATGATCGTATACATTTTGTTTGTAATTATTGTGATATTACTATATAAATATGTTTACACACAGTTACAGAGACTTAAAAGATAGGTATACACGTGTTTCATCAAATCAAGGCGTTTCATCAAAACTTTGCACATTGTAACCATTTATATTATCCGCAAAACTCCCAAACGTTACATTTGTCGTAACCGTAATTTTCTTTACGAACATTTTCTGGCAACGAATATTCTCTTACAATCTTAAGACGTTTTTTCAAATCTTTCGTCAAACCGTGTCTTCCCGGATCTCCCAAATAAATTGTTGTTCCATTTTGGCGCGCTTTTTCGAGCCATGGGATTAAAGTGCCAGCAATTTCTTCGTCATACAACATATCTCCAATGAAAATCACATCGTTTGACTTCTCAGGTAGTTCGTGTAGTAGGTTTTGATGAGACACTTCAACGTTTACGTAATTCAGTGCAGAGTTCATGGAAACGGCAGTGCAGGCAACTAAAATTAAGCAATGTTTATATAAATATAATTGTCATTGAAAATAATTACAGAAGCTTTATAAACAGTTTTTATTCTATACCCTATTGAAAGAGGTAACCCTATATATACAATCTCAGATATATGTAATCATCAATCGAACGCTGTTATATAATAGTGCTTGTGCGTTACTTTCCATTAGCCTATTCTATCATTGTTTTTATGCGAAGAATTCACTGATTTAACGACATTTAATTTCGCTGAAATCATTTATATTAATCGTGCCGATATAATTACTAATAAAGGCGAAAATATAATATATCTGAGCGTGTCTGAGAGGCATGGATAAGATAGAAGACGCTATCGCATCGATATCATAACATAACAGATATCTAAAGTATCCGCAAAAGATCGATTGTGTAACAAATGTCTGAAGTATCATTGAGAAACTGACTTCTGAGGATTACTCCAGGAAATATAACTACACGATGCTCCGCCATTGCTATTACTTTCTCAGAACATAAGAACATAAATGAACATTTTTTAAAGATTTCAACAATCTCGAATATTTCTCTTTAAAATTCCTCTCAAATTTCAAACTTCAATCTCTAATCCCTTCCTTCATTTAGGTAGAAGTATGATTTTATACGATTCGTTAGCATGACTTTGTAATCTGTATACATTATAGCGTACTCTGTTGAGTCAGCAGTATTCGATTGGCGCATGAGGAGACGATTTAGAATGCAGCGGATGTAGAATCCAAAAATGGACGGCCTTTCACTGACGCATGTCTAGAGCCAAACTCTTCGCACGCGTGTATCTGTGAAGTGGGGAATACCGTACTGCCTGACCCACATTTCGTACTTTCTTCGAACCTAGTCATAGCACAGTTACTAATTTTCCATACTTTTATGCAATGGAAATAGAGATTACCAGCATTTAATAAGATGCTGTTCAGATTTAGATGTCTATAGATGATTGAACACTAAAGTTGTTTATATTTTTTGCAAGAAGTGCACTGCTTTGGCTAATTTTCTTAGAAACACGCATTTAATGTTTCAAAAACAAAATAAATATTTTTCATGAGAATTTCATTGATAGAAAACTTCGATAAGAGATTTTTAGGTATCCATATACAATAACGCAAATACTTGTTACGTTATTATCGATTTGCATTTTCGGAGAACGATATGTGAGAATCATTTCTTACGATTGTCTGATTATTTGGTTAAAATTTTAATTTTTTTTTTTTTTAGTTTTATTGCAAAAACAAAGAGTAAAATTTCTATATATAGCACAAAAATGACATTAAGACGATTTTGAGATTTCCAACTGTTAAAAAAGATTTTCCTAATATCATTTCTATCAATACTTCATATTTTTATATTTTTCTTCTGTGCTGTTGATATGCTATTTTCCATGCAAATTATATTTTTCCTTCTTAAATCTTATCTATCAGGTTTAGATGCTTTCTCTCCAACTTATGTCTCGCGAAATTGTCTGTTCATAGTATAAACTATGTATAGTACGTGCCTATTATTAACAATGTAATGCGTCACAAGTACGTATCAATTATTTAGAAATCTAGTGATTGAATCCAAAGATTCCTGTGAGGATTTCTGGCTACCTAAGCAGGTGCACGAATGACGTCAATCCTACCAGCTTCGTTTTTTCCTTTTTACTTTCTGTGGTATTTCCACTGCCTCGTTCTCGGCTATCAGTTTCGAGCGCAATGCACTCGGTTCTTCCCCGTATAATAATTTCCCTTCCCTGGTGCAAATATCCCGAAGAATTTCCACAATTCTCACGATTATATTTTATTTTTAACAGTAGATATGAACAGATTATTTATGAATACCTGTTTCTAATAATAATTATATTTTAATGAGATCGCTTACGAATGAGGAAACGTGTGAGATATAAAGTGAACTATGCATTTATCTTTCCAAGACACGTGAATAAATCAGCCGTTTTTCCTCCTTTTCTTCTTTTTAGATACCAAAAGTCTTTCTTTGTACAAGGCAACTTTCGAAGATTTTTACGTCCTTGATGATGTTTTTTAATTCGCAATTTATTCTTATGCAAATTCATTCACATTTGATATAAAGTATGAAATATTCGCATTCGTATCCTTCATTTCGAATCGGAGTTAAAGTGTTTCTCTTATTAATTATATGTTTTTTAAATAAACTGAAACGACTTGCTTAATCTTTTATTCAGGGTTGGTTTTAAAGTTTATCTATTAGATATATGACAACTACATTTATGATCATACGAACTTTTATCGATATCGTTGGCAATAACCCTTCTAGCGCCAACAAGTTTTGCGGCGATAGCAGTGGCACCACATCCACAACCGAGATCCAAAACCTTCCTTGAAGACGAAACAAATTCTCGTCCTTCGTCCAATACAAATCTAGTAAGTGCTTGTCCACCTGGCCAATAAATGGACCAAAAAGGTTCCAAGAAAACTTTCCTCTCTACCTCTTTTAACCTCAAAATTTGTTCAAATGGAGTATGATATAACTCACAATTGGAAGTTAAAAGAAGTAACCGAATTTCTGGTGTCATATGATTTCTGATAACTTCAGTATACTTCAAAATAGCAGAAGATATCTCTGATTTATGTTCATCAATTTTATCTTTGCTCTCCTCGATATTGCTATTCATTAGATTCTTGAAAATTCTTCTTTTAAAAGTGTCGTTAAAAGAAATTGTTTTCTTAATCATCCAACAACCTAAACAGACAAACAGTTTCTAATTAGAGAAAATCTTACTCCAGGAAATTCTAAATATGTATGTGGTATTATTTACTGTTACATTATAAAAATACTCCGGAGAATCTTGAGAAATGATAAGACATTACCTTCTCGGAACGATATCGCAAGTCACGATCTTACAGTCGTAACGAGAAATACTGATTCCCTTCTTTTTCCGCACAGACGATAAGATTACTTATCGATCCTTGTATATTAAAGAACTCGACGCCAGTGAATTTCTGATTGCAACAATTACGAAATTAATTGCTCCACGTTTTAAAACGTAAAACCGTTTAAGTAGAGAAACTTCTAAACTCTTTCAGGGAACAACCTAATTTGTTCAATCCCAATTGATAAACGAAGCGACATTGTTAAAAATTACAAGTTTAAGATATGTAAGACGGTATACGAATATATTAAAAAATAGGAAATATGAAAAAGGAAAAATTGGAAAATTCAGTGATTGATATTCCAAGGTTACAGTAATACACTAATCGCTTTGTAAGTAAACCAATTGTGGTGTGTCACGCATTAGAACATACCAAATCGAGTAATTGCCATTTTCCTTATGTAATATACGACATTTCAAAATTGATCCAGTCTACGGTGTTTTCGAAGTACTACTTCGTAGTAAGGATCGAATTTTTTCCTTAAACGACTTCGAGACTAAGCCCCCGTTTCTTGTCCAAGAAGTTTGGAATTCCCGATGGTTGCTTGCTCATGCGTGTTTCCGAGATAGCTGGATCGAGTATTGTACGTTCTTTCTGTAAAGATAAAAAAAAGTAATCTAATTAGTAAAAATCTGAAATATTTCTTGAACTCGGAGAACGTAAACCTATCGAGTCCATTGGAAATCCCGAAATCATTTTGTACTATAATGAACGTAAAACGTTACAGCCCGCGTCAATTATATAACGTATCAACTTTCCAGTTTGCTGAAATTAGAATTGTTACGTGTGATCAACTTAATTTTAGCACGTGTCTAATCCTTTTACAGAATATATCTGTATAAATACAGAATATCTGTATATTTACAGAATATAATATGAGCAATACGTATAGGTATGCAGAACAAAGGAAGGATATAGGAGTAAGAGAGACAGATAGAACGAGACAGACCAAACAGATGCGAAGTATCGACTTTTCGTAATTCCCCTCGGTTCACCGTGATTCTCAGGTAGATTTCCACATGGATTATCAGCAAACCTGTACAATTGCAGAGCTGATGAAATCAGACATACAAGATTCAACTGTTTGCATCATGTATATTTAATACGAACCCGTGCTATCAACCCTATTTGGAACCCAATTGAGAAAAATATCTGAATAAATTTTCCATGACACCTATCACGTTCGGTATTCATGTGCGATAACAAATGTTTGATTTTTTGGCACTGGGTAAATAGTATATAGATGGAGCTTCACAACTATGTATGAGAGTACGCCATCTTACTTTCTAGTTAAGATCTGCTCCTATCCTCGTCTCTTTAAGAGCACGGTTTTGACAAACGAAGTTCCTAACCTGGACACTATTTTAGTGTGCCCCCTTCTGGAATGTATTTACGCCTACAACTAAATTATTACCCTACGCAACATAAATACTTTCTTGCGAATCATCGTCGTAATTTTTGTTCGGCCGTAACTATCATAGGCATGGCATCATATATGCTTTGCGTGTGTCATCTTTTGTTCGAAGGTTAGAAAATCAAATATGTTAAAAAACTTATGAAAATAATATAACAATTCGATGGAAACTAGTAACGGAAATTTTTTGTTAAAATTGTAGTCTAAAGCAAAATATTAACACGCAGATTAGCATAAAATTGTCTTGCGTTTGTTTACCCAATTATGTAGTTGTAAAGAAAGAAAACACAATATTGTCGTGAAGCTTTCGTTTTTCACATTATTTCATTTCCTGGTAAAAGCTTTTGCAGCCAATTCACCGATAAAAAGCTCCGCTCTGTACACACAGACTCGACACGGCTTATCTGGAATACCCCTGGATATATAGAACAGTAGCATGGTAGAGGGGGTAAAAGCCGTATAAATGCGACGGGTACCGGCTCCGAGGTCATTCGTTGTTCGAACTGCAGAGTGAGAAGTTTATTGCTACGCATGCTTTTTGCGAGAATTTTATCGTGAAAGTTTTTCATTGTTACGTGAAATTGTATCAAGACAACGTGTGCGTGTCGACAAACAGGCTACTGGAAGAGATCAAGTGAATCAGTGGATTATTAACGAAAGTGTCCATCACTTGTAAAGTGGCTATCAAAAGCCAAGAAATTCCGACATTTAGTGAAGTGTGTAAGAGAAACGCGACTGAAGTTAGCCAATCGAAAAATAACCAGAAAGAAATAATCACAGATATGACACGTTGTCAAAGTCTACGATCCTACGCATCGGCTACGATGACTGACAGGTATATAAATTTTTATTTTTAAAATTCGTCGTGTCTTTAGATAATTTGTGTTGTTCGTTACTCTCACGACGAATTCAACCACATAGCAACTATATCGAAAAGCGATATTCCTGCTATCGTATCTTTTGATAAACATTACAAATATAGATATCACAGTAATATGAGAGAAATTAATTTTTACTTTCTTGTTACAAGCTTTTTCGATATCATCGAATCTTCATCAATTTACAAAAGAAACAAAAAATCTGAACGAATTTTGAACCATCGATCTTGATTAATTTTCAGTGGAACTCTGCCATGGATTGAACAAAAAGAGATGTCCAGATGCCCGAAAGGCACGATAACATGTGGAATGTTACCAACGTTACGAGCTCTGGCATCTAAGGAATGCGAAAACCGTCAAAGCACTATCTGTCTCGTGCCGTTCGACACCAATATGGACGCTGGCAGTCATCTACAAATGATCCTTTTAGAGGCATATTGCCGTGAAACAGGAATCAAGGTGTTAAGAGTATCCAGAGAAAAGATACAGAATCATCTATGCCCTGGAAGTGGCGATTTGTCCTGCGTGCTCATCTGCAATGATAATCCATATTTCTTAGATACTCCAGAGTGAATTTAAAATATATTCATCTATAAAGAACGATTTTTTTCGGCTGAACGCAGTCACGCTATCATACGAGTTCCGAACTTTTAAGAAGAGTCGTTGGACGGTTCGATGGTACAGAGAAAGAATCTCCGAAGATGGCCTTATCAAATACGGAGGGAAATTTTTTAATTGATTTTCCATACGTGTATCGTAAATCGTAAAAATGAACGGAGTCAAGCAGAGTGTCATAAATAACAAACATTAACGTTCTAGAGATAAGATGAAAATTATTTCTGAGGAATCTCGATCACAATGCGTGGTTCTAATTACGAAGTTTGTTCGAGGGAATAAGTGATGTGGAATTAAACGAATGTTCGCATGGATCTTGTAGATACACGTTTGTACATGCATATATTCGGATAGTCGTATTGCAATGTAATTATTGAAAGTTGCGGAAGGATGGGCTAATTATAATTGTTATAATTTTACCTTGTAATTGTTGAATTTTACAGAAATACATCATTGTTACTAATTGAAGATTATTTTATACTGATATATATGGACATTATTAATGAAATTGATTGTATTTATTTATTTATTCCTGTAATTCCTTGCTTAATATCCTCTAAGTATAGTTGGTCTCCATTTTTCATTACATTATAACTTCTTTGTAGCTTGCAAAATATTTAAGGAATTCTAATATCTCGTCCATGGAGGATTTACAAATCCTGAGCGTGACGTGAGTAGGTACATTAAACAATAAAGAGTTAATCAGTTACTTTTAAACAAGACCTTCAAAGAGTTACATAAATATGTGTTAGAGTAAAGACAAAATAAAATCTAATATTGGTAAAAAATGTACAAGTTACAAATAAATAAAATAGGTTTTCTTCAATTTACATATCCGTTATGCAGGCCTACATCGGAAATCACTTTTCACTTTTTTGGAAACTCTGAAGATGGAGACAAAATTCGGGAATCTCTTAACAAATTGGTTCAACGTCGACGGCTTAGTGAAATTTCTCTCGAATCAACTCATTTTACGTTTCAACAGAAACCTGCACTGAAACTGCAGGTACATATCGTTAAAAGTATTTGAATATTCTTTGTAAATTTCACTTACCTTGACCAACATTCCTTCAGAGTCTCAAGATAAATCAGGGAAATGAACACGAAATTCATCTAGGAGGAGAATTCATTTTGACTTGCATTGCGCAAGGTAGTTATAGTATAAACTTCACATGGTATAAGGACAATATGTTGGTGAATATGAATAAAGCCACCAGGTAAACCCAAAAATTATTGCTAAAGTTTATAGTACTGTTGACCTATTCAAGCTGATTATTTATTCTAAACAAAAACAAGGTGTGTAATCTGAAAACTAGAAATAAAATAATCGAGTAATTAAACGAAATAATAAGAGTGTGTAAAAACCTTGAGGGGTCATCTACTTGTAACCAGACTATAGGCAACCGTCTCACGTTTAGACAAATTTATAAATCAAGTAATTTCCATCGCTTAGAAAAATTTGGTATAGGCACCTTCCCAATGACGGCTCTGATTTGCATACATCATTATTAACCATCGAAAAAGCGACTTTGCTTGATACGGGTCAATACACTTGCCAAATAGTCGATTGGGGCGTACAGCAGTGTAAGAGTATTTATATAGACGTAAAAGCTGAACCGGATGTAAATATAATGCCAATGAGCGCCACTATAGACAAGGTAATTCTGAAATCTAAAGATTTAATCGATTTAATTAGATATTTCGCTGGATTAGTCTTATTTTCAGGGTACGAATATACAGTTGACATGCATGACACCCAATGTGCCCAATATTGGAATAGGATTCGGCTGGACAAAGAACAAAGCTCTGTTGAAGTTAGAACCTGGTAGCGAGGTTTGGGAAGATTTATATCCAGCTGGAAGTATATTAAAAATTACAAATGCACAGGTATTTAATCAATAGTGAAATGTTGCCTTAAGATATTTTATCATGCTTTTAACAAGTTTATTCTATTATGTTTTCAGAAATCTGCAATATATACCTGTAATGTAGCAGACAAATCTCTGTCCGTTCGCGTAGAAGTCGTGAATCGAACATTGATACCGATATGCTTGCGGGGGAAGTCCTGGGGCTTAATTTGGCCAGATACTGCTCCTGGGTCTGATGCGTTATTAGAATGTCCTCAGTATTTTGTAGGCAAGAAAGTGTCCAGATTATGCTCGATGAAGGATGCTACCATCTCTGAATGGCAGACACCAGATTTCTCCTCCTGTTTGTTTGAGCCATTAGTTTTGCATTATAATAAGTTTAAAAGTTTGACATTAGGATATCAAAATACGACTGGTTCTGAAACAATCTTTGTCTTCTGGGAAATTCTGCGATCACGAAGCTTGCCTCTCTATCCTGGCGAAGGAGATCGTATTCTGAATATCCTAGCAGAAATAGAACGTTATCAGCATCAAGTTGACCCATCTAATTTACATACATCTACAGAGGCTTTGATACGCATAATTAATCGAATACTGAACGATGAAAATTCGATTTTAAGTCAACAGGTATTAAGATATAATTTTTAAAAATTGATTATTGGTAGGGATTTATAAGTTTATAATCTTTAGAAGGTTTTATTGCTTCTTCAACTCACACAACGGAATTTAATACATTGGTCCAAAATGGCTACTCATCCTTACAAGCACTTAGCCCTTTCTTCCATGGTGGTAGACATTCAAGAACTGCAGCAACATGATGGTGATAGTATTACTCATTCTCTTCAAATTCCTACAGATGATATCATGTAATTATTATTTATTGAATAATATGTTTATATAATTATGTCATTCATTTCCTTCACCGTTTCCAGATATCCAAACTGGTATGAAGATAAGACAACAATACGATTGTGGAAAAAACGACAACGTGGTATAAAGTCTAATAATACTCTACATGGAATAGTAGTCGCTTACAAGAATATGTCCCATTTTCTTCCAGCCACATATGTCAAGGAGCTTGAGTAAATAATTCTAGCATTAAACTATATAGTTTAGAATTGTACTTTTTCAACTTAAATGCTTCATGTTGATAGTGATGGTACAGATCTGGAGTTTCACATCAATTCCCGAATCATCACGGTGGTAATTCCATCGTTTAGTCTAGACAAACATAACAAAATCTGGATAGATTTGCAACTGAAACACATGCAAAATCAATCGAATTCGTGGAACTTGTCTTGCGGTCTCATGGAAGTCACAGGTTCTTGGGATCTGAATACTTGTGTTGCTAACACTTCACCAGGCGACACCACAACCCATTGTCTTTGTCCCAGCAGCGGAACTTTTGCGATTTTCTTAACAGCGCGTGCTGTGAGAGTATGTTCAAATAAAGTATTATAAGTATTTGATTTTAATTTATAAAATATTGGAATAAAAATATTTCATTTTAGGTAGTACTTGCAAGAAAGGAACAAACTACATTTATTGTGATATTTGGTTGTGGCAGTTGTTTAGCGCAATGTCTTCTATCCTCTTTGATTCTCGGAATTTTTTGGTGGAAAAATCGCAGTTGGTTGAATTTTCTAAAACTTCAGTGTTGTGGTGCTTTAGTCGGGGCAATGGCTGTTTTTATTTACGCCGTACATAATAATTTACCAGAGGTAATTGCAGCATATATTGACTAAAAGCGTTTTGTAATAATAATTACTTCATTTTAGAATTCCTATGCGATCATAGCTATAACTTTGGAAGCTTTCCTCCTTATTGGAATGTCAGCGCCGATATCAGAAGCTTTGATCATTTATGCCGATCTCACTCAAATTCGATCTAGTCAACACTTCCAGCCTACTGTTATTGCTGTCATTACTGGTTCAAATAATTATATTAAATATCAATTATAGATTAATTGATTTTTTACTAATTTCGTTGTTTAATTAGGTGTACCTATTTTGGCCGTATTGAGTACCGAACTCACACATAAGAGCACCGGTTGGAGACACGAATCATGGTGGTTAATTTTTGGCAGCGGAGTTTACAATATCTTTGTTACTTGTGCAACTATGATGTTTCTTATATTTATATTATTATATTTGGGAATTTTACATAAAACTCAGGTTCTTGTCGAGGAGAACGTTATAAAGAAAGAAGCGATAGAAACTAGGTGTAGTTGATAAAACAATAGAATTAAAAATGAAATAAAAAAATAACTAAATAAATGAAAAATTGATATCCCTTTTTTAGACTACGAATGCTTCATCGAGCCGCCATAGTCATTTGCGGTGTTATTACAATGGAAGCTTCATCCATTTTTTATATAAATTCTACTTCCATAATCTTTCATTACATATTTGCAACCATTTCTTTTGCCTTGGTAAGTATGAATTAATAATTAAAATATTTAACAATGTAATCTCTAACGATAATTTTCGTAAATTTAGGGTTTCGTTATAATAATGGTTTATATTGTGAATGGTGAATTAACCACTATGGACTTAATTTTAAGAAAATTACGATGGAAACAAAACACAGAAGAAGAAATAACATCCGAGCCAATTAAAGGTCTCTTTAAAAATCTATGTTATAAAATAAATATAATAATCTAAATAAAGCAATTAATATAATAATAAGCAAAATAAATTTACTTTTTTAACAGTGTGTTCAAAGAGCGGGGCCGAGGTAGAGAATGATACTGCTCCGCCGTCGTCGTCTTTGCGTATTGGAGAACCGTACTTAGAAGCCCGTGGGATTGCAGCGGGTAGTATAGACATGCGGGAATTCATGAATGAGTCTTCGTCCTCATATTCAAAGTCTTCCGTCCCTGTCACTAGCAGATTCCTTCCAGAGATCCGTATCGATCATTCGGACAACATAAACCTGGAAAATTACAGCACTAGTCCACGAAAATACCAAGACGGCATCACGTTCGACAGCGTGTTTTCTTCGCGACCGTCACATTGTGTGAACGAACCCTATGATGTCAACGAGTGCTGTAGTTTCCGGGAATTTGGTAAATATAGGGAGTCTCAAGGACAAATCTTTATTACGCACAATCCATCGCCCGAAAGCTCCGCAAAAGTTCTTTGTAACGCTGATGTTGAATCACGCTTAAGTGGAATGCCAGATGTAACTTTGGCAGTGAAAAATGATGTCGAACTGTTGTCCACAACAGAACTAAAGAGTAGGGAACATGTAAATGTCATTCCTGACATTGCTAACACTACGGAACGTAAACAACCCGATGGAGAAGAAAAAGCACCTGAAATCGTGATTACAAATTGCGAAGCTACAGCGAGTGGTATGCTAGATCGTATTGCACATGACCTTGATTATTTGCTAAATCGTACCCATTCTTCGGATGGAACATAAGTCTGATTATAATTTGAACGAAATTGATTCACCACCCAAGGTGATTGGAAAACATACATCTCTATTATAGTGTTTAATACATAGCTGTATCATTCATAATGTTTAATAATAACTAATAATGAGGTTTATAGGTGCGGTAAAGAAAAATTATTTTACGAAACTTAGTTAATTTAAAATCATATATATACAAGATGACACTTTTTAATTTCGGTAGCTAAACATTTTAAGGAGATTATGGAAGATACGAGAAAATATTTTACATGAACATTATAAGATCATAATAGTATTTGACCTTAGTTAACGTTGAAATATTCTAAAATTAACTTTAACTTTCTAAATCAAATCCTATATCTTTTTTATTATATTTTTATTATTTCTTACAGTTAGCATCGAAGCGTTTTCAAAATCTTACCTATATGTAACTTTTATATAAATTATTCTTAACACTTTCAAAATTGACACGCCGCCAATATTAAATTAACATTAGTCACATTAAAACCCGATACAGACCGGGAGAAGATTATTTAGTCGACTCTTTCTCATCATAATAATTCTAAAGTATCGATTAAATGCATACGTGTCCTACAGACATGTGTGTAATGTGTGACGCCATTGGTAAAAAGCTTAGGTTATTAGATGTTTAAATTCTTTATGGTTTATTCCAATACTCTCTATTCTCTATATACTATTGCTAATTTTAAAATGCGAACAATTCTATCTCATGTATCTTCAAAGGTTATTGTTTCAATCTAGAAAATCAAATTCTTTAAATAACCTTCAAAAATATATTGAGGTTTGTCAAATTTTAAACTAAATACAATAACAATTTTCACGTTTACCAAACCGGCGATATATTATTACAGAAAATAAGTAGATAGTATTTTGAAAAAGCTTTGATGTTGGTTATAAAAACATGTAATAAAACATATAATCTATTACTTGAATTTAATTTTGATTACATATTTCAAAGTCAATATAAGGTTAATAAATATTAGTATAATTTATCTTTCTTCATACTTTACAATTTTTATGCATAATATTTTTTCATACTTATATTTCTTTCAATATCTTTACTTTAAGAAATTAAAATGGGACATCTTGTAGCTATTGCAGTGCTGATCAGAGTAAGTGTTAAAACAGTAGACCTTCCTATTTTACTGCTGTTATTATAATATAAAAGTATCGAATAATAATATATTATTTATGAAAAATATATATTATTAAATATTTAATGACAGCACATAAAAGGAAAAAATCATATAACTGAACAGCACTGACGTAATTAAAATGTAAACTAAATTTTTTTTTAAATTTGTTGTTTAATTTCTAAATTTATATAATTATAGATCTGTAAAGATTTGGCCTGTAATACGCAATTCTATCGAACTTGCAACTTTAAACAAATAAAAATAAACAACGGTACTTTCTAAAAAATGTTATCACTATCATCATATATAATACTGCTCAATGTTATGTTTTTTTGTCACATAACAATTAACATTAAGAGAATATATCATTTCTCTTTCTCTCTCGCCCCCCCCCCCCTGTCTCCTTCCCGTCATCGCCCTCCCTACCATTTCATTAGCATCCTAAAAGGATACTAATCGTAAAAGGAAACTTCTTATACGGACATTTGTTCATCCATTAAAATGTTTTTTATATTAAATAAAACTCGCGTTTGTCTCTCTATTATATAATATTATGTGAGCAAATTTTCATAAAATATACTTTCAAATTTCATGGTTTCCTGCATATATCCATTCTCTTTTTCCACTTCCTTTTTTCTTTCTCAATATCGATTTAAGTAAAAACTTAAGATCAAAGTTTATGTTGTTGGTAATAGTTGTTACTTTATTTACTTTTTCCTCGTTTTGCTTCTTTACCGCTAGTAATGGTTAGTCATTTGCTTAGTGAAATGCGTCACTGAAAATTTCATTTTTTTTCGTTTATCGAGATATTAAATCGGAGCAGTATCTCTTGGCCAAGCATGTGTTATAAATGCAAAAAGACATAATAAGATCGGTGTTAGTTTGTTAGCACTCGAATATACCTATATGACTAGTTTTCTGTGTCAACAGATTTTCTTAAAAATATAAATTATTTACAAGGATTTTAGCTAATTTTATCGAGATTTAATAACCTTGGTTTAATCACATCAATAATACCGAAGTATAGGAGGGCCGTGGCTGTACTCAATGAAATAAACCACAAAAAGACTGTATTTATGCGATCATAATATGTTTTATGAACGTTTATACGCGCTACTACCGTTTTTTAATATTTATTTCTATCTTTTTTAAACGAATAAAAAATCTGCTTTTCTTTTTCTTCATCTTGACGAGAGAAAAAAAATATACACAATTTATATAAATCGGGACAAATCACAATACACATCGAATACTCAAGCGAAATAAGCAATGCAGTGCTCATAGTCTTTTTTATTTTCATTATTTTGATTGGATTGTTATACGATTAAGTTATTCTTCCATAATTAATAATTAGATCGTTTCCTCCTCTTCTTATTCTTCAGTTAATCTGAGTCAACTTGTATATATAAAATAAATTTCTATGATATATCTTGGTCATTTCGCGACAGAAATTAATTTTTAAACTTCAATTATTATTTCAAATAATTTGTTCCATTTTTTTGACGAATTCAAAGATTTGCTAATGAAATGCCCTTTATTATTTCAACCTACTAACAGGTGACTACGATTATCTATATTTGTTCTGTACTTGTTACATATTCGTGTACTTAGCTGTACAGGCAACTGAAATAGTATAGCGCGTGATTTATTTTTAGGTAATTCAAATTTATTCAATGTATATATTTCTAACTTTTGAAACTATCTTATGATTTGATTTAAAAGAGAGAGAGAGAGAGAGAGAGAGAGAGAGAGAGAGAGAGAGAAAATGAATGAAAGATAGAAAGAAAGAAAGAAAGAAAAAGATATTGATTACTCGATTAAATTAGATTTTTTTACATATCGAACACGTGAAACAGTTTATCAAATAAATATGTTCGAATCTCCCGTGTTAGTATTTTGTAGCCTAGTGCTTTAGCCACGGCACCTTTTTTCTTTTTTTCCATTTTTATTTTTTTTTCTTTTATCATTTAATTCCATTTTTTCTTTCTGTTTACTTAAATATAAAAATACATAGCCAGTCTATACATAGAGCGTGCAAAGTGGCACAGTGAACTGAGTTACCAGATATCCTGGATGGTTAACTACCGCTTTCGGTATTCAACGGTGGTTCCATTTCATCGTTACTTCTGCTCGTGTTACTCGACACGGGGAGACCTGAGGTTTTTGGCAGCGGGTTAGTTATTACATTATCACTATGAGATGTCGCATTATACATAGAATTATCAAAGTGTTGCAAGCATGAAAATTCCGGGCCAGGCAGCAATAAAGTAGTTTGAGTGGGAAGATTAGTTAACGACACCATTCCTGGCGTCATCATTTGCTTGTTAAAGCAACTCCTTAATGCCTCTTCAATTAAATTTGCTATTTTATCACGATCATTCTATAATAAATGATAAAAATCTTGAAATTGTTAATCCCTTTTTAAGATAATTAATAAAGTAAGTACCTCGTTAATAAATCCAAAATGTACAAGCTCCTGTGCAAGAAGCATTGAAGTATCTAATTGACTTACAGGACACGTCAATTGCCTATTCATTTTGTCATCCATTCGTAATAATATTGTCATCTATAAAATATATCAGCATAAAAAATATAAATCAAACTTAATAATTAACGATAAATATTTCATTAACATCATATTATATCACTCACAAGTAATTCACAACTTTCTTCCCTAGGCTTAACATTACACATCATATTAACTACTCTTCGAGACTCTACGTCCACCGGTTCGGGTGTGACCGATTTCACTGATTCGGTAACCTCAGGTGATATTGCCCTCGGTCGAACCGGTGGCGGTAGTTTCGCCATAAATGCTGTTAGGGGATATATACCATATCTGTTGGCCCAGAACATCAGTGGCATTATTAGAAAATAAATACATCATTAAAAATAGAATTTAATACATTTGTTATGTGATTATTTAGTATACTTACTTTACATCTTCTACAAACTTTTCTAACTTTTCTGTAACAGGAATATCACTTAATCGAATCTGCTGCGGTGGTCGACTTTGATATTTAATTTCCGCGACTACCGTATCAGGTCCGTAGAGCCTTTGCAGTACTTCATCTGTTATTGTTTCTGAAATATTTGCTGGAAAAGTAAAGAAAATTTATCCACTTCTAAAAGTTCTCATCCAAAGTTTTATTTATACCAAAACAATTACTGCATTATTTATTTTTCATTGTGAAAAGAAAATATGTATTTTGAACTATAAAACAATATAGAAATTAAATAATAACAATATTATTAAACTTACTGGCTGAATTAACCAAAGCATGAGCAGCAAGTAATTTCAACGAATGTACTTCAAATAAGACAGGATGAAAAAGGAGCTCCCTCGCGCTTGGTCTACTGAGGGGGTCTACTTGAAGACATTTTCGAATGAAATCTTTTTGCTGAGTATCATCTAATGATTCTATGGTTTTTCGAACATTATCGTCGGTCACAATCGTACCGGTATCACCGTTACCCTGAATTTCCAATGCAGCCATTTCCAAAGCGCACATTCCAAACGAATAAATATCAATGGCTGGTGTTACAGAATCTAAAAAGGGAACAAAATGTAAGATAATATAAAATTACTTTATGTAACAATTCAATACACATACTTCCATATTCAGGAGCTACAAAATGCATGTTCTTCATGTTTGCTCTACATGTTTTAACATGATGATGAATTGCATCAGGAGCAACTGTAATGATAAAAAAGAAAGCATACCGTTACTTTAAAAATACATATTCTAAATAGGGTCTCACAAAATATGTATATTTCTCGAAATTATTTAACAAGCAATAAGATAAAAAACTTTCTTTACGAGGTAGCAGAAATTCTTTATGTTTTCTATTTGTCCAAAATTAGATTTAAAAAAAGAAAAAAAGAAAAAAAAAAGAAAAAAATATCAAGAAACAGGAAAAAAAATTACAACAATATAATGCTGCCTTTTTTCCTCTTCAAATACCCGTCACCTTCGTAATAACAAGTGATTAATAAATCGCTAGAAAAATTGTGTAATTGAAAAATTATCCTATGGGTAACTTGAGCCTCATACAATTAATATTTTCTCTTATGTACATACATACGCACGAAAATGCCTCTAAGAGATTCAAATATCGCATACAAAAGTAAGATAAACAAAACACAAACAATCAGTAGTAAGAAACTAATTTACATGATTTGTTTTTGAATTGTTCACAAAAAGAGACACTTTCATCAAGCATGATGAAATTTTTAATTGAGAAAAATAAAATTTATAAAATTTATTCTATTGGTGAATAAAGATATAACAAAAATGAGAGCACAATGAAAGATATGTGTGCTAGATAATAACCATGAAAGATTTACGAAAAGTTATAAATTCTTTGCTCTTTTCATTATTATAACTTAAGAGATGAAAGAGTGCAGTATAATAACATGAATAATATCAAAATCAAGAAAATTTTGAATTCTTTATATGAATCACTGTACCAATAATCAAAATGTAGATATACATACATAAATGGGAATGTTTACCTCAATATGCCTAAATTACTTAGCTGACAATAGTTGATGATTATCTGCCAAATGCATTTTCTTCAAATTCACCACCTTTTTCATAATTTACACCAGAACAGAAGAACCATCGATATCAGTTGACTTTATCCTCTGGATGGGTGAAAGTACGATTGTACTTCCTCTCTCTTCAAAGACTTTGCTGTGTTTTTTTCATTATCTAGATTAGCCTATTTGCTACAATTAAAAATGAGGACTCAAGTTACTCCTAATATGTAAAAAACAGTTTATGCACAATCTTTCTAACAGATTTATCTTACTAATAAATAGGGCAAAAGAGGAAATATATATGTAGATAAATAAGAGAGGGCAGGAAAGGGAAAAACACATTACAACGCAAATGCAGTAATATTAACATGGAATGGTCTGAATAAACTAATCTGATTAAAGTGGAAAATCATTAAGGACGTTCTGTAGAGATAGTACCCCATTATTTTTCACACACATATATATTTAAAGGACAATCTTCATCATATTATTAATCTTATGATAAGATTTAATTAGAATGATACTAAATTATAGCATGGAGTAAAACTTTTTTCACAATACATCACACCAACTTACACACATAATTATGATTTATAATAAAACATTTGGATATCAAAGTATATTGTTTGTATATCATTTGTATAGCACGCGATATTATAAATTAAGTATTGAATAGAAATTAATTGGGTAATTGTATAAAACTTATTTACTACTGTCGATTGACTTATCGTACGAGTGCCGAGGAGGCAATCACAGTAATTACAATATACGTACTTTGTTTGTACCCCATGTAAGAATAAAATAAATACCAGTTAGCTCACAGTGGTTATTTTAACATCACTGGTTGGTCGATTAATAATCCTATATTCTGATTTATAGTTTTCATCCATGAAAATTATGAGAAACAAAACTATTAGCCTCTCATATAGTCCTGTGAATAAAAAAAGGGAAGTGCCTTGCAAACTCCTATTCCAATGTATGTTAAGTAATTTCATTTAGGGATAAATACTCTCTTGAATACCTACGAGCAGCTATACGATATCAGTACTTGTTAGCAGAGTTTCAATATACAAAATATAGGAACATTAAGACTGTACTTTTTTGGACACAAAGTGCATCTTATAAAATAGAAAGTTTTTTATATTTTGCTAAATAATCACTTACCTGACCCAATTTTTACAAGCCCATTATGTTGAATAAATATAGTGTCGCAAGTAAGATTTCCATGAATAATGGGGGGTGAACAGGAATGCAAATAACTGAAAAATTCAATTGGATTAATACATACAACAGAAACATATAATTTAAGAAATTTATGATATATATAAGGAATCATGTTACCTCAGTGCAGAAAGTATTTGAGTACACCAACGTTTCCATGCTTGCAAAGGTAATTTTTTCACATTACGCTTTGTTCTTTTTAGGAACTGTTTTAAAGATCCAGAGGACATATACTCAGTTATAAATATAACCTAATAAATGACAAATAAAAGTATAAATAATATTTAAGATTAATCTAAACTTCAATTTTCTTATTTCATAACATACCCGAGGCTTATCATTATGGGTATCTGTCCAATACCTATGAAATTTAACAATATTGGGGTGTTCTAACTGTGTAAGATTTTCAAATACAAGTTGTATCTTTTCTTCTTGCGCTTTGAAATTCTTCCTTTCAGAAAATTGCACCTCATTCCAAACAACTTCAACACCTTCTTCTGTATCCATTGCCAAATAGGCACAATCGATTCCTGGTACATCACGTTGTTCCACCTAATTAACAAATAATATTATTTACGAAAGTACATTATTTTATACATATATAACTATTTATGGAACTGAAACTAATACACAAATACATAAAGTTAATTTACATAAATTTAATTTAGAAGTAGATATAAATATTTATTTACCATATATAAAAATGATAAAGAACACAAATAAATTAGGATTATTCATATATTTAAAGTATATATAGAATGGAATGATAAATATATTAGTGCAATCATCCATTTTAACGTTACTTAAAGCACAACAGTTTCATACCTATTTATCATTACATCAATGTGGCCTTGTAAGAAATTTAAGGAGGGGAAATAATCCAGGGTACAAATTGTCATTAAAGAATATTTGTGACAATGGGTTATGTTCAAATAAAATTTATAGATTTACTTTCTATATAGGTTGCATCTTTTTGATTAAACATTTTTAATAAAAAGCATAAATAAACCATGAAAAATAGCCTTTTTTTCTCTACACAGATATACCTCCATTTCAGTAACTTCGTTTTCACTGCCTCTGGTTGCTCCAAAGGTAGGGCCTTCAGCTAATGTGGACTTGGAACCTACATATACCTAACATAAAATAATAATTATTGAACAACAAATAGATAAGATATTTCTATTGCTTCCTATTTAACACTATTTATTTATTTATTAAAAAAGTATTCTTAAATAAAATAAGACAATAATTTCATAAAATAAAGCACTGCATACAACTAATTAATAATTTCTTATTAAGATGAGAGATAAAAAAAGAGCACCGTTATTAGAAGCTTAGTTAAAGATCAATCTACATATATGTATTTAAAAACATTTAATGTTTATACGGAAATCTGGTAAAAGTAGTTTTTAGGTACTTCAATGTAAGCTTAGAAAATTTGAATATATTTTGTATAATATATTTTGAGCAATGCATTTAACAACTTTATTATATACACACATGTGTATATATTTATATGTATATGTATATTGTAAATCATTGATAAATTAAACAATATTGCTTTACATGTCTCCTTGCAGCCTTAAAGGAAACAAGTATTAGATAAGATTACAAGGCAAGTAATTTCTGTTTTAAATCTTTAACATCGACTGAAAAAAATATTCAATAATATCTTTTTATTATCAACCACATTGATACATAAAGGTCTCTAAATATAGTTCTATATTGAAAAAGAAAAAGAAAGAAAAAAAGTGGTTAAGTTACAGTCATATCTTAATGATTAAACATTGTTTACTCAGTACCATAGATTATATACAAACATTCCAATAGTTCATCTAAATTGAAATTAATGTGAACAAAATGCATCAGAAAAATACACCCCATCATTATGTTTCTCATAAAAGTAATACAATCATATATTCGTAGTGTGATGAAGAGAATATTTAAACTAAATATTTAAAACCGCATTAACCAGAACAAGATTCCAACCAAGTGGATAAACAAGATATAAACATATAGATGAGTGTATCGCTAGAAAAAAAACGAATGTACCTCTTCCCGGCGTTTGAGCCACCGCCCGCAGGGGCTCTCCTCCAGGATTTCACTCTCATCTTCCGAATCTTCACCACTTTCCCGCGGTGACTTGTGCTCTGGGTCCGTACTGGAGCGACTCCCGGGCATCACACACGCGATTAGTTGAAGGAGTAGCACCGAACAGAGCACAACACGGCTAAACTCATCGGTGGTAATTCGAAGAAGTTACTTCAATATTGCATCTGTTCTACTGCAAATGCACTGCCAATAATACGCACATGAACGTTAATAAAGAGAACGGGATTCGAGACTGTAGCACAGCTAGCACTCACAGTGACACATGCAGCGACAATCCGTTGTAAGGGAACCCGAGCTGCGATATTTCTGATCTTACGCGGTCACGCGCACGGATCGACGCTTTTCGGTTTCCCTCAGGGCTCAACCGGTGTACCGGACATCGCGTGAGCCATTCGTAAACCACACTGTCAAAATAAAACCTCTGTTATGAGCGAAATAGCTTCGATGTGACACACACTCTAGTATTCATTTTCGCTCTGTCTTCGGTCACGTTCGCCCAGTATGGCGATTAGCGTGTACCGCACCCACTTTTCGGTCCAATAGCAGCGACATCTATCAACCGTAGTATCGACAACCGATTTCAATCTTGGATTGGAGATAATTTAAAGATAATATTCACCAAATTGATTGCGTGTTTTAATAACACACATGTTCTTCTGTGTTACTATGTAATCCATGTCTGTATAATTTTTACGCGATATGAATAGAAAATAATATCGAAATAATTCGAGGTTAAGAGTGTGATTTTAAATTTGATTCAATATGTTGTACATTTAAACATAATTTTTAGTCTTGAAGTTACATCTTGAATTGTATATTTATTTGAAATTCCGTTTTGTATTTCACAATGTAATATAATTTCCTTAATGTATAAGTGGTCAATTGCGTGATTATTGTTAATTTAATATGTAATTCTATTCATAACGTGACAATTGCAATTAACACAATGACATCTATAAAAACATTACCTTTATTAGGAGGTACAAAATTAATAGTCCTTGATGAAGGTGCGGTAATGCTCTTAAGAAACATGTAGAAGAAATTTTTTAAAACTATGTTTTACTTTAAATATAGTCAAAAAAATATATATATATATTTTTTCGTATATGTGTGAATTTTTATTGCGTGTGTGTCCTCGCGCGCGCACACATATGCTATATGTGTACATATGTTTATATTTTAGGATTAAATTCAACATATGCAAGAAAATTAATTGCAGGATGGATAAAAATATGGAAAGATAAAGATCCGAACCATACATTCAATCTATTATTATTTTCCGATTCAAAATCATCATACCAAAAAGAACCAGAATCTTTCATATCAAATAATGTAAATATTTATGACTACTATACTCTTGATATTAATGAAATCGATATAAGTGATATTAATGAGAAAGATTTCTACAGTCTAAAACATATTTTAAATATAATAAACACTAAGTCTACAGTGATTATTGATTGTATAACATGTTTAATTTTATTTGTTGGCCTACCAAAGACTATATGGTTTTTAAAAAAGTTAAGCAAACAAGTGCCACAATTAATTTGTATTTATAGACGGGATATTGTACAAAATAAAATACTTTGCATTGAAACATTAGGAAGTACATATATAAAAATACAGAATTTTTCTGATGCAGTAGTAAATAAGAATTTTAATTATGTAGTAAAATTTATACACCATAAAATAGGTGGAGGAATCTTAAAACAAGAAGAAATAATAAATCAAAATGATACGTCATATGATATTCAGTCAAAAAAACTTGAACGAAATAAAAGAGAAAATTCATTATCTGATAACTATAAATTAAAAATTGAATCTTCATTCAGAATAGAAATAAATGAAAATGAAATGAAACAAAGAAAAGAAACAGTATTACCATACATAATTAAAACAGATGTAACAAATACATCTAAAATTCATTATCATCCAGAGGATATAGATGATATTGATGAAGAAGATCCAGATGATGATTTATGTTTTTAATTCATTAATGTGTACTTAACTATCATGAAACATGTTGAATAAGAAAAATTATTTTAGTTTTCCAAGCAAAGATATTTATTTTATACATATTTTCCATTTTGTAATTTATTACAGTTTATGTCGTATAATATGAAATATTATATTTCTATAATAAAGTTATCTGATTAAGCTTTTTTATTAATTACCTTTCTTTAAAATCAATAATAATAAATTTCATAATAATTTTGTAAAAAAATACAGAAACTCCAAATTGCTTTTCCTCATCAAAGAAATTAATAATATGCACAAATACAAAACATAATTTAAAAATGCAATATTAGACATTGATATTCATCTTTGGTATTTAATTCAATTAGTCATCATATTGTTACTATATCACTTTGTTTCAAAGTATTCTGATTACACTATGAAATACATGTATCATTATAATTACTATAAACAATAGAGAAAATATGATCATAGATGTAATAAAAATGCTATAAAATAAATATCGAGTACTAATTTCATAATTTCATAATTTAAATCTTTGCGTAAAACCTGATCAAGATGTTACAATTAGGCATTAAAAGTATAAAGTAAATTTTGATCACAAAAGTGATGAGTACCATCGATATGTTGTAATACTCGACTTTCTAATAAGCTACGTCCATACTGAACAGCTTCTCCTCTAGTTTGTGCAATGTTGGCTTCAAGCAACCAATTAACTAAGTCAGTTCCAGTGAAGACACTTCTGTGTACTTTTAGCAAGCGTCTACGGCACATGGATATATGAGCACGACATTCAGTTAAATGGCAACGAATAAATTGATCTCTAATAGTTTTCACTTCATGACTTAATGTATCTTCAGAAGGAAGTTGTAATTCTCTCCCTATAAGTTTCAAATTATATTGTCTATTCAAAGTATACAATTTTTTAATTAGAAATAGAAAATATAAAAATGATGTAGTAATACCATCGCGCCATTTACGACTCATTTTTCGTAACCAACATCCTAACTTCCCAAGTCCAGGAACATCTAACCCAAAAATAGCAAATGTAATTAAGGACTGGCCGAAATTTAGAGCAACATCAAGGAATGCCAATTCTGCATAAATTCCAATTAATTGTTCCATTAATAGTCTTCCAACTGATATAGATAGGCCCTGTTATAAAATATTTATAACAAATTATACCTTTATAATACTTTTTGATTATTTTACTATATACTTACAATGAACATGGAACATAGAAGTAAAATAACAAATACAAGATGTCGTAAAGACTGAGGATCACTTCTTTCATTGCTTATGTTTCCATATAAGTTACATTCATCAATTTCATTATTGTTATCTCTGTATACTCTATTTGGACAATCATTTGCAGATTCACAGCCAATACTGATAACATTAATATCTTAATTAAAGTACTTATTGTTTTTTACATAATTCACTTACATTGAAGTATGAGAAGTTGAGGAAATAAGATCTTCAATATCTACTATATGTCTTTCAACATCATCACTATTATAATTTTCAGCATTATTTATTAAATTAGAACAAGGTGGTAAAATGTATTGATGTTGATAACTTTGCTGTAAAACTAAACAACCAACTGATACTGTAAAAAAAAATATGCAATAAATAAGGGATTATGTTTTATTTAATTTCAAACATTGTATGTTATTATATGTATATATATACATATATATATGTTTACCAATAAAACAAAATATTAATATAAAAGTAGAAATTACAGCTTGAATTCTACCAAGTTGAAAATTTGGATTTCTAAACTCAAACTCAGATTCTTTTGGAGACATTGTACTACACATTATAATTACTACTAAAAGTGGAATCCTGGAAGAATATATTAATAGTTATCTTTCTTTTTTCAATGTTGAATATAAAAATATGTTCATCATACCCCCAACCAATAAAATAAAACCGTTTCTGAATATTGTGGATAATATCTAGAGAACGGGAATTTAAATATAACAGAGTTGCAGCTACTGCCATAGTCCACATACGACTTGCATATACTCCAACAGTAATTAGGATAAACTGGATGTACCTAAAATAAATTATAATTATAGTAATATAACAGATGAATTAATCAATAAAAGAAGAAAATAATAGAAATATATACCATAAAACTGAACCATTATCATAAGATTCAAGTTTACTCCATATTATAACTCCTATAGCTGTAACTAACTAAAATCGTAATTTTTATAAATAGTACACCTATAATTGGTATAAGCTCTAAATCGATATAATTTAATACAAACCTGTGCAATTATGATAAAAAATGTACATTTATGAGTGATACATTTGTATTTTTTTCTTCCAAATCCAATGAAACAAATTATTAGCCATATACAAACTATTATTGAAGCAATGCTTACATCAAAAGAAAATACATTCAGCTGATGTGTATAATTTTTGGGAGTATTCCCAGTAAAAACAGCATCAATTAATTTTGCTGATATAAACATGAGTGGAGCAGATACAAAAGTACACGCAACCATTGCTGATGCAATCAAATCTATTTCAAGATTGTATCGAACAGTAAAAATAAATAAAGCTGGTGCTGTAGGAATAGTACCATACAAAAATCCATATGTACTTAAGTCTTGAGTATCTGTAGCATTTTCTCCAGCATTCAAGAGAATAATAGATTCTCTTATAACCAAGGGAAGAATTAGCAATTTCACTAATATCAATATACCTGGTATTACAAGAGCTATACCCTTCAATTTATGCACCTTTCCAACCATCATTAATCCCAACAAAAAGAGAGCACTTGCTGAGAAAGCATTACCAAATACATCGAGCACAGTTGCAAGTGCAGCTGGAACTAAATGACTGAAACCAAGATTACCAAAGATACCAAGAACAGTCATAAGAAGTACTGGATTTAATGCAATTCCTTTTGCGATAGAGCAAATCATCTCCCTATAACTTCTATGATCTTCACCATAACGTTTGCCAATTTCTAATAATACAAAACCAATTGGATTTAAAATAGCTAACGATATTGGTGCCATTAAATATAAATAAGCAGTATATTCAGGATGTGTTTTTCCATATAGTGCATGTACTGAAAAAATGTTGTATTTAATATTATTATATAAAATACATATAATATAAATTAAATAATGTTAAATATTGTTATCTTACTTACTCATAGGATATCCAATAGCAAAATCATTACTCTGTGTAGTAAATATTGCAAAGAGTGCAGCACAACCAGGATTTGATTGTCTTTTAATGACTAGAGATATACCAAGAACAATCAGGAAGACAAAACTTTTAGCTAATAACACAGCGAAAAGAAATTTCCAGTTTACTAAAGTAAAATTAAGTTTTGCCAATGACATGAAAATTAATGAAGGTAAAGCAAATGTTCCAACAAAAGTATTAAGGCCATTTGCTTCTGTCTTAGTAATAATATCAAACCTTCCTGCAATATACCTAAGAAACAACCAGTTATTTGAGTATTTATATAATAAAAATTAAAAAATTTAATTGTTATAAAAAATTCACCCGCATAATATAATAGCAAAACACTGTATTAATGCAAGATATAAATTGTCCATTGGCTCAACTTTCATTGTTGACATCTGAATTTCTTCTAACAAAGACATAATTAATATAGATTTTTAAACACCTAAAAATATAGAATAATTTAAAGTGGATATAAGCACAAAAAATATTGGGAAAAAATGAATAATTACTTATTAGCATCTATATATTGATACTGTAGTTATCTTTAATATAGATATTGTCATCTCTGTAATATAACACAATTATCCCAGAATGGGCATGTACATAAAAAAATATATAGTATTAACCCCATGTCAACTTCATTTTTGTTCACATTATATTACTTTCTTTTATAGTCTGAAATAAAAAAATTTTTGGTATATTCTGTAGAACAATAGTTTCAATATATGTATAAATATTAAATAAATAAATTATGTAAATGATTTTTATAAATTACTGAAAACTCAAATATTTTTTAATGTAATCATAAATAATTTAAAGTACATATAAAAATCATCATTCATGCAAAAATATTAACACTCTATCAACCACTTTCGAAATTCATTGTGGCCTTTATTCATAATTAAAGTAAAACGTACGCACGAGAAACAACTACAAAATTCGTCCCAAATGTTATGAAAAATATTAATATTGCTTAATATATTATGCAAGTTTATATCAACAAAACATTCATGATAGTCTATATGCTTTGCGTATATAGACAATTTTCAATCTCATCCGAATCCACGTCGATATTAGACTATCGAATCAGTTGATTGGTTCATACAAATCACGTGCCTTCGGTCAAGACATCGAATTCGTTGCTTATGGTTGCAGATGATTCGTTTGTAGACTTTAAACTATATTTTTAAAATACAGAAATTTTATTTATAACTGCAATATCATAATGTCAAGTAACATTTTTTTTAAATGAATTTAAAGTTAATACAAATATCATCAAATTATATAACCATAAATGTAATCATTGTTACATAAATCGTAATCATTATTTAGATGTATTAATTAATTAATAGATACATTTATACATTTATAAGTTTAAGTTTGATAAATTTTAATAAAATAAAAGTATCTAATATCTATCGTTAATATTTAAAAATATAAATTCCTTAACATATTCAAAGATTATATATATTTAAGATAAACCTATAAAACAGGTGGTATATATATACAAAGTTATTACATATAATCAATAAAAAATATAATACTCATAAGTGTAAATCACATATTAGAGAGTTCTAAGCGTATAGAAAACATGTAGTGTATGCTATTTCATCGATGATAAAGAGTAAAATAATACTAAATGTGATAAAAAATAGTCTCTTACATCAGTTTTATGTCGAAATGTTTCTAGCTGCTTGCGCCAATTAAATTGATGCAAATAATACGCAATAGTACAGAATTATAACTAATAGGTTATCATTAACTTATTGGAAAGATACAATCGCTACAAACTTTGAACTTATGTAAAATATAAAGATTATTAACAAAAAGAAAGATGTAATTAAAATATTATTAATTTTCGTTATTATTGAGTAAGTACAGAATACAAGAAAGAAAATAATTCAAACAAGATATTTATACGAAATTATATGATGAGTATTTTAAATGATATAATGATAATCCTTAAAGATAGAAACTATTTTTTTAGCATTATTTATTTATACACTAACACAAATTTTTTAGCATACATTTCGCATAGCAATACAATATTTCAACTGCCAGTAAAATATACGTTTACGCCACTGACCTCTATGAATCACACATTCTTATATCTTGCGCAATTAAATTGTTCTACCATAAACAAGAATACTGGATAAATATTTTTCAAAACGATTTATTTCTTAATTGTTTGCCGTTTATAAGTTTATAAGACCAATAGAAATCAGATTCGGTTTTAACTATAATCATATTAAGAAAATATCTATTTAATGTAAATTAAATAAATATTAACATTTAAGTGCAAACTTCTTTGCTTAGTCACGGAAATTCATGGAACTACATGACTCACTGATAACACGAAACAATTTTCATGTAATTTCAAAACAGAATTAAGAAAATAATATTAAATTTAAAAATATTGAATTAATATTTTTGATATTTAAAATATTAAATTAATAAATATCTAATAGTCAAGCAGAATTGTAGTAAAAACGGTTGATTTATTTTCAACTTTCTCAAGTAAATAATATAACTACGTAGTAATTTCGCTTTATCGAAATACACATCGGATTACATTATAATCACGTGATCGATAGATAACATATCTAATGTGAATATGTATTAATTTATAAACGAATGTACAGGGATTTTAAGTAGATTTATATGCATTCGCGATTCGCAAATTGTTCGTATATTAACTGATTCACTAATACAATATTAAGTGTTATCATTCGGTATCAGGTTTATTATGATAAAAATTCTGAACAAAGAGTACTTGAAACTTGGAAATTTTTGTTCAAGGTTGTTTGAAATAACGCGCCCGAAGTTATAGGAAAAACATATGTACACGATGTAAGAAAGGCAAGAATCTATAACTTCGTGTTCATTCGATTTTTTTTTTTCTTGGAAATCCTAGTAATTATGTTAGCGTTTCAGAGAATACAATCGTTATTTATCATGACGTTCAAGTCAAACGAAGCTGACGTAAGGCTTCGACATCTAAACAGTTGAAAAACGGTATAATTTTTAGAAGCACAATATGTTCAACCAATTGTATTAAAAATGAATTTTAGTTTCTTTTGATGTATACTTAAAAGCCATTAATTGACATTTAAAAATGTGTATTAAATATATTGAAAGTAATGTAAGATTTATATAAAATTTTATGCGTTTATAATATAAACACGTTTATTAAACTCATAAAGTGGTACCGGATACAATATGAGAAAATAATGAATGTTAGACGAGAAAAATTAATCTTCTAATTTGTTCAGAATGAGAAAAAAGATACGCAACTACGTTTTCTAAACTTTACATGGATAATAGTCACGTGGTGAATTATCAAAAGCTTATATGAGAGGTGAGAGGAGACCAGATGCCTCAACGTATATAATCTTCAGTACGTATACCACCACCCAGTTCTGCTTGGACTTCGAACGTGTGAATTGTGCCAAGCTTCCGAGGAGGAAAGTTTTTGTTTGTTTGGTGCGCTCATTGTATGGGTAAGTTCTAGAATTTATCTTAAGGTTTTCTTTTTTTTTTTTTTTTTTTATATTATTTTTTCGCTTAAATTTAAAAAATATAATTAAATTTATGTACAAAATAAAATAATTTACATATGCGTACTTGAAACATCTTGTATGTCCTAATTCGAGAGGGAAATGCCTTTCATTTCCAATATTGCATATTTGTACCTTAAGTTACTGCATTTAGTGACGTAATAAGTTGTGATGATAGTATTTTGTATTAGTATAAAGAGCATATATAAATCAAATTACAAATATATGAAACAAATGTAAACACAAATGTTTTGGCGTCATTAGAATTTCATATTTATCATATCGTTATTTTTAGAATATGATTAAAATTTGACTTTCTTTTCTAAATTATAGTAATGTACAGACCTAATGAAAACATGGAATAAATATTTTTTTCACTCTTACGTAATTATTTTCAGTAAACAGATTAATTTGTTTTGAACTAGCTTGAAGAGTATTAAATATATAAAAGATACCACAGTTATTTTTTATAATAAATATACAATGCATTATTAGTAGCGACAGTTTCTCTTTTTTATAAATTAATAAATATAGAATAGCGTATTAGTGCAAACGGTAGTACTGACGAAAGTCATAGGAGACACGTGGCATGCTACATATCTATTTGGTCGCGTATTGATTCACCATGTGTATATACTGTCGCCATGTTGGATACCAAACCAACGACAACTCTGATCCGCTTCTCTGCATTTATTTCACAAATTTTGTCATATGGAATCGTATTAATTCGTGTGCTTAAATAGCAATGGACATATGGTAAATACATTTATTAACGTAAATACAAATAAATTACAAGTTATATTAATTGAAAAAGATAGATCCATATTTATGAATATGCCCAATACTATATTTTATATATTTTCTTAATGATTATGTTTTAACCAAAATAAAAAAGTACATTTACTTGAAGTTTTGGATAAAATCATTATTAACAAAAATAAAATAATATAAACATAAATAATTTTAACAAGGTATATTTACAGAGCGAGAGAAGAGTATAAAACACGGAGAGAGCCCTGTGGAGCCAATAAGCAGCTGCAGGGATGAGCATGGCTTTGTGCCAACAGTGGGCCGTTGGGGAAGTGAATGGCCAAGTTGACTCGAGACGGCAGAGATATGGTGCCAGCCACAGGGGCAGGCACGCGGGCCATGGATCAGAGGTGTGCCGCTACCCCTGCCGGTTTGGGCCCATTATGAGGCACCAGCCTTGACCGTTTTAACGGTCGAACAGTATGAGGAACTAGCAAGCAGCGTTGAATTAGAAACGCAACACTTACTGCGTGAGCATCGCTATGACACCATTGGCAATTTCCTTAAGTAATTGTCATAACACAATTTTTTTTTTCTAAATTCTCACTTATAAGTAATAGTTAAAAGAGTTTATTTTATAATTAATAGGTTTTATAAGGACTATATTGCAAGTGGTGAAACTGTACTGGAGAGATTTTATCACAAATATCAACCACTTATAACACGTGAACATCATACATGTGTGGGTTTGGGATTTGAATTACTGTACCGCTTAAGGTGTTTGAATAAACGATTTCCTGGTATAGCAAGTGGCCTCTATTTAGTGTCTTGTGAGGAGGTATATTTAAAATTCCTAAACATCTAAATTTGTTAATACATAGTAAGACATTTAATATGAAATCTTTTTTATAGACAATTGATAATGTTGCTAATTATGTTGGTGGACCACCTGCTGCAGACAGTGGGGAAAAGGAACATGTATTAGTGTGTCTAAAAATCAAGATTGGTGGACGACAAGGAGTTATGCTTCTTGATCCTGGATATCATGTAGCTCGTGTAATTACTGTGATGGAGGATAAATTATACCCACACACTGGCTGGTTCATCCAGTCTGATGAACGAAATTATAAAAAAGAGTACAATTACTTTTTATGTGCTAACGATCCTGATTACATTGAATGGCACGAGAGGAAAACTCGATCTGGTACCTTGGAAAGAACACAAATTGCTCTTATATACGTGGCAAGGCCTTATTTAACTGCCATCGATGTTACGGAACGTAGAAATTTAGTTTATAACTTCAGGAGTCTCCTTGCAAGAGACACTAAGGGTCACGTTACAGCTGGTATATATTTCCCTGTTGTGCTAGATATGAACAATGCACAAACTTTTTCAATTTTTTATCAAACTAATAATGGCAAGAAACGAGTTAAAATGGCATTCAATAAATTTTGCAATTCACCGAATGTACGTTTTACATTCATACATAAATTAATATCAAATAATTATATGCAATTAATATTAAATTATGATCATTCTATTCAGATAAATCCTGATGCCGAAGAAAAAGAAATTTGCGCCGAATGTGCCCGGCAGTTAGGTCTCTCGCAAGATACACTAAAAGACCTACTATTTGCTCTTGCTACTGTTATGAGTGACTCAGCCTTTGTGGCTCAACTTCTGGCTATTAATGCAAGAATCAACACCCTAGCAGAGGACAATTAACAAAATCTGCCCTATGTGGTACAGATAATATATATCATTTTTTTTCTTTTTTTTTTTCTTTTTTCTTTTCTTCGCCAACTATCCTCTTATGTTCTTTTTGTTCTGTTGATGATCATGTTAGTAGCTTTATTTTATTCTTGTTACCAGATAGGGTATAATATTTTTTAATGGATTTTAATAGACCTATTGTATTTTATGTATTGTTGTTAACAATTCAATGAAAATATTAATGTGGTAAATATTAATGATTTTTGGACATTGTTTTCAAAATTTAGTAATAGTATGTATTTACACCATTCTTTATTACTACTTATATAAATATTTAATCGTAGATCGTTTTAAAGTCTTAGAGAATTTGATGTTTTCATTGAAATAATATTGAGTAAAATTAGTTTTCTTGTTTACGTTAAAAAAAACATTATAAAAAATGGTGATATTAGGGATATCTTATATTCAATCTTTTTGTCCTTAATATAAAAGATGAATTAAGTTATATTAAATTTACAATTTTTATTTGAATAAACAGTGACAAGAATTATTACATTAAATTGTACATTTATTGATCAATATACTACCCAAAGATATGTTAATTTTTATTTGAAATTATGAATAATACTAACATTTTTAACTTTAACCACTTATTTAATATTAAAAATACAATTAAAACTTAATGTCCTTTAAGCATAGTTTTTTTAAACAAGATATCTTTTATGAAGATTAAATATATGAAAAATTAAGAAATAGTACTTCAATAACTTTCCAACCACAAATAAAATATATTATTATATTTGTTTCTTGTAAATTAGATTCTACAAGGAATAATTTGTTTAATCATATATAGATATTTAAAGGAAAAGTACATATTTTTTTACATTCTTGCATACTTCCATTATATGTTGATACAGATTGTTTTATATAATTTTTATATATATGTTATTCATCCATGAAGATTCTAAGAGATAGTCTATATGTAAAATGGAAAACAACTGCAGTATAACTTCGGTAAGATATCTACTATATAAAAAAATATAAAAAAATTTTATTAAAATTAAGATCAAATTTCAGAAAATTAGGAAAACGTAGTATGATTTATATGAATCATCTGTGGGAAGAAATTGTTTATAAAAGTTTTAGACTTAATACAATATTATTACATAACATGAATTTTACTGAAGTTCTGCAGTGTTATTGAAACATAGCTTGAGTGGTTGAATAAAAGTACTAGTCATTACTATGTGATACAACACGACACTTTTTGCAAACTTTAGCATCCAGTATATGTTTGCGTTTTTGGTTTCCGATTATACTTGTACTTGCTGCTGATACAGATTTAGTAGCTTGAATGGTATTGGATGAATTCGAACTGTAAACATGATAATGTTAAACTGTAATATATCTTTCCTTGTTACTAAAATTAAATATAAAAAGGATAATAATATATTAGAAGTTAGTCCATAGATAAAAAAAATTTTTGAAATATTTTTGTAAAAAGAGGAAATGATTAATTTTTATTTTATTAAAAATTACATAATATAACATAAGTAAAACATATCCAGAAAATTATGATGCAGTTGTTAATTGGAACATCAAAACAAGTGTTAAGTGATACACAATGTACTCACGTTGCATAAGTGTCATCACTGTACTATGCTTTTATCTTATTAATATTTGCGGTTGTACCTGCAATACACAATATATGGTATATTCTATACCAATGTTGTTTGTTGTATTACAGATGGCAAAATAAATAATAAATTATAAGGAAATGTGATAATGAAATAATATTTTATAATCTGATATAGAACTAAATGAAATATAACAGTTACAATAACAATATTTGATGTGTAAAAATTTCTGAAATCAATATTTTTAATATAAAAGACAAGTTTATAAAAGGACTTTTGGCTTAAAATGGAATTAAAGTTATAAAAAATGAACTATATCATTTATACAGAAAGAATACAGTAAATTAAATGTATTTATTCTTATTTGTTATTATCACACAATAAAAAAGTACACAGTAATTGTATAGTATATTAAAGAATGATATTTGATGGATATAAAATTCCATTTATATGATTTTGATGTCAATTTTTGTTATGCAATTACATAAACATTCCTTTTAAAGAAGTAAAAGTTAACTTCAAGGCACAGAATATTAAAAAACGTTAGATCTTTATTTCATGTATATGTAAATATACATGCACACGAATGACACGATTAGTAGCTCTATTCGTGTAATTTTATATATCAGGCATTTGTGCGCGTGTGTTTCTACATATTATTGACATTATATTAAAACAAAAGATTAAATATTAAAAGAAATTACATTGAAATTTGCTAACTTTTTACTTTCAATTAAAAAGTTTGTAAAACTATATTTTTGTTTCATAAATTTCTTACCTAAATGTATTTCAATAGTCTAATATCTGTTTTAAAATATACATATACGAATTAAAATACGACTGTGTTTGTTTTATCACAAGACAATATAGTAAAACTTTAATAATCAAATGATTTAGCTAATTTTATGCATAAACATAATTATTTTATGTATAAGCATAGTCTCTTTATATTTCTTGATAGAAAGAAATTAAGCTAAATCCAACCACACATTTCTATAAAAAAATTAACATGCATCAATTAGTGATTAATTTTTTAAATATATCAATTTTTGTACACTTTCTACCACAGTACAGTACAGTACAGTAAAATGTAACTATCACTCAAACTTCATCAACACACTTTACCATTACCACTGAAAGTATAAACAGCATGCATATTAGTACAAACTACACGTATATACAAAAACAATATTAAATATCCATGTATTTGAATATATATAGGTTAAATCAATATTTTTGATACCCATGTATACAAATACTGAAATGCACAATAATACATTTATTAAAAGTATGGATTTTTAATTTCCTAATACATTTAACTCATTGAGTTAAAACCAAAAATGCTAAAAGAAACATCAAACTTACCTTAAACTGTAAATTGGATTGTATGTTTTAGATGAAGGTAGTAATCTTAAACTACGTCTAGCAGAAGGTGTCCACCTTGAAGAACTAGAGTATCGACTATGAAAGCACATAACAAGCGGATCAATTATACAAGAAAAAAATAAAAAACAATAATTAAATAAAATAATACTTAAAATATTTTTCTGAATTCAAACACCCAGGTCTTTATATGTGCACATTACATTTAATAAAAAAAAAAAAATCAAGTGTGATATTACATATTTTATTGATAAATAATCTTTTATTATCCTCAATGATTTTACATTACCATAAAATATTTTTAATGAGACTCAAAATTATGGAATATAATGCTATTTATTACTATACTGATTAAACATTATATTTATGAATTATGTTTCAATTAGTTTTATTTGTTTTGTTGTCTGTGAGTGTATATGCCCACGTTTCTTTCTTTTATTCCTATTAATAAATAGCATTATTAATCATATACTTATGGAACAGTGGATATATCAATCTATCTATATGTACTACATAGCAAGTAATATGTAAATATCATTATAGTAAATATTATTAAAAGTACTACAGTACACAACATACATCTTCTTTGATATGCTACATTGAAACTAGACAGAAAAAATAGAAATTAAAGTTTAAATGTTTTTATTTGAATGTTTGATACAAAATTTTGGCAGGGAATGCACAAAATGAGACAAAAGTAACGATATAAGATGATCCTGTTTCTCCATTCACTTTCTTTTACTCGTTCGTCTTCTGGATTTCTTATGCACACTGCATAAATTTGACTTTATCATTAACAGTGCTATACATAAAATTCTGCCATGCATGCATATATTTTTTATGTGCAATATATTTCTGTGCTCATGCATACATACAGTTACTACATGTCATGATAGTATGAATATATATATATATATATATATATATATACACACACATACATTGCTTTATCTGAATATCTTAAAAGGAACTGAAGATATTAAAAAAATGTTCTAACAAGAATTGTTGATATGTAGAGAGACATAATATGGTGTAAACATTTTTCTTGTATGTGGGACAACACAGAAGATTTCAAGGTCAAGTCAATTTTTTTTAAATGAAATGCTATATTTCTAAGTTATAAGTTGTTAAGTTATGAATAAAAAAAATATAGCATTCCATTTAAAAAAATTAACTTGACCTTAAAATCTTCTGTGTTGTCCCACATACGAGAAAAATATTTACGCCATATTATGTTCCTCTACATATCAACAATTCCTGTTAGAATATTCTTTTAATATCTTCAGTTCCTTTTGAGATATTCAAAAATATTCAGAAAAAACACCCACTCTATATATATATACACACATGTATATATATATATATATATTGTAAAAAATGTTAAAGAAAATTGAAATACATGTGTGCTTTTCCTCTTTTTAGCTTTTTAGTGCAAATGATGATATGTAAATAAAGAACTGTTTACAAAATATATTATATATGCTATAATAAATTTATCGAACTAACCTTCCTGATGTGTCAGGTAAAGCCTGCTGTCTATGATCAGACCGATTTCTATGACCATGGCTACCATAGTTAGAATTACTATTTTGGTAATGGCGAACACGTGATTCCCATTCATTATTAAAACTCTCTGCCTCTTCTATGAAATAAGATTTATATGATTTGATACAAAGGAAGATAAAAATATAAGTGAGAAATCTATTACCTTCATCAAGATTAATAAATTCTTGATGTTCTTCTTGTTCACCACTGTGGACATTTTGCTCCCTTTCTAAAATATGTGCTCTGTCTCCAATATGATGTTCAATAGCCATCTTTTTTGTTCCAGTACGCGAATCACAAATTGTTCTCCTTGTTTCTTTCACACCACCAGGAACAGTCGTTGTAGACATAGTTTGTTGATAAACTTGTGGACTTTCATTAGTACCAAAGGTCATGACAGAAGTGTAGGAATGACAATTTTCATTCGATACCATATTATCCTAAATTTAATATTATTTTTTGCAATTAGTTCTCAATTTATAAACTCTATAAACTTGGGACAAAAATTGACATACAAAGTCTGGAAATACATTGCCCATATTAAATGATGGCAATGGTGGAAATCCAAATGGCAATATTTGAAGATCACCTTGACGACCTCTGTTCCTATGGCTACCATGCGTAATAGCATTGTGGCAAGGATGACCCATGATACTAAATGGGTCATTAAATAAAAAATTCATCATGTCATTCATGTCTCTTACAGATTGCATGTGAGATCTATAGAAAAAAAAAACAAATTTGATATATTTTATTTGTTTACAATAAAACCTTTATGTATGCTAAAATAAAAAAAGTTTCTAATAAATTATATTATCAATGATGCAAAAAAAATAATGATTATGTAATACATCAAATAATCAAGAAAGTAAAATAAGAATAAATATTTATAAAAACAAAATTTATATATGGAGTTTAAAACAATTATCTTTGATGGATCATACTTCAATAAGCCTAAAATAGAAACAGCTTATAAATATGCACGCTTAATAACAATTTTTTCTCTAAAAATTCATAAAATTTTGCTATTAAATAAAAGCTAATATGTTCCCGTAAACGTATATGACGAAACTAATTAAATACTATTTCGATAATAATTATAATAAAATATTTTTTAAAAATTGTTCAATGCGTGGATTTTTTATAAAGAAAAGAAATATCTTTATAGTAATTTTCTATCTCTATAAAGAATTAAAATATTAAAATTTATTTTAACTCACCTAAAAATAGGATAATCGTCGAGATCACCCATCAATGATCCGAAAAAGGACATTTTGAAAAACGGTCAACTGAATACTACTTGTGAAAAAACTTACGATCGATAATTGAAAACCGAATAATATGGAAACGTGTATTGGATAAAATAAAATAAATTTTTATGGAAAATTTCACCGAAAGGATTTTATAGAAACTTCTGGAACGCAGAAGCGCAAAGTAAAAGACCAGGCTACCCAACACTACCGCTTATCAATCGTATAATGAACAGTATGTACCAAATGGATCTACTGTGTAGTTATACACATACACATAGTTTCAACATTATGACATGTTTACATGAAGTATGGTACGTTTCAATCAAAACATTATATTATTGGATATATAATTTCTATGATTCTCAGATTTCTCATTTATTTTTCAAATTTATTATAAATTCATTTAAAATACCTTAAATTTGTTATTGTACATGATATTAAAAACGTATTGTTTGAACAAAATATATAAAAAAAATTGATTGTTTTCATTTTATGACTTTATATAATTTGCAACTTCTTCAATTAATTAATGTTATTATAACTATTAGTAAATTTAAAAATAACAAAAAATTTGATACTTACAAAAATGAAGAATATATTAAATTAATTAG